AGTACAAATTCAAGATTAAGGAAAAAAGCTTAAGATTAAGAGGACCCAGATCGTCAAAATCAGATTTTTGGAAGCAAAAATTTCACCTGGAAAGAGCCAGAATTGATTCCACGAAATCGCGAATTCCGCATATATAAAATTAAGTGGTGGGATTAGAATATTCTACGTTTGAATTAGCTTTCTAGGAAAAGTTCGCAGCTTTCGGGTAGGTGAGAGAGCTTAACGTAAGAATTAGAAAGACAAAGACGAAGACGAAGACAAAGATCTACGGAGAAAAAACGCGTCATGCGTTTTTGCGATGAAACGAAAAGTAAAACCCCCGCGAAGCAAATGATTCTATACCGCAGATTCCTATGGGACCCACACATCTCTTTTTCTGATTCTGTTGGGCTTTTTATTTTACGCGTTATGGGCCCAATAAGCCCAAGTTAGTGTGATCGTCAATGGGCCACGTCATCTAATATATGCTTGTCACGGTAGATGCGTTTAGTAACCAACCCACCTGCATATATAAACCACACATGCCACATGTAGAAATAACAAAAACATATACTACTATAACTAAATTATTTAAAAATTATAGTTGTAACGTGTAAGTACAAACTACTTTATATTTAGTTCTAAGATATAGTATTAGTCATACATATAAAAATTAGTGTCGATTATATACGTTATAACTTATAAAAATGTTATAACTTATAAAAATGTTAGGCAATTTTCATACTAATAAACATTTAAAACGTTATTATTATTGTTTTATTTTTTCTGACAGCGTAAAACATTATTTCATGCAAGCCAAGGTGCAACACTATCGTAAAAACAAGGATAATTTAAATACAATACCTCATATAAAAAGTAGCTAATAACTTAAGAATGTTTTGGGAGCATTAAGCTATACAAAACCAAAGAAACATGGTTTCATCAAACTCACTCTTTCTTCTTGTTCTTCTTCTGCTCCTCTTCACTGTACTAACTCATAACTCTAGCCTTGAAGATGATCTCCCGAATGATATACCAAACGGCTTCTTCTTACCTTTCGAATCTAATCTTTATGTTGAGATCACCATTGGAACCCCTACACGAACCTTTAACCTTAAGCTAGACTCTTCTACACATCTCACATGCCTCGATAATGATGATGACCACCAATGCTCCCTCTCAGACAAATCTTCCAACACTTTCTCTACAATCTCTTGCAATAACTCTTCTCTTTGTCCTCATGTCTCCACCAATTACACTAACTATTTCAACGCAACAACAACAAACACAACAACTTCTGTCTCTCTTCTCTGCACTCCTTCCGATTTCTGCCGCTACGAGGCCTCTTCCTCTAGCTCCGGCTACCTTGTCTCCGACACACTTCAGTTAACTTCCTCAATCACCGACCAAGAAAACTCTCTCTCTATAGTGCGAGGGTTTGTCTTTGGCTGCGGGGCTAGAAACCGTGCGACGCCGGAGGAAGACGGTGGTGGCGTCGACGGGAGACTTAGTCTAACGACTCACCGTTTCTCGCTCCTCTCTCAGCTACGTCTCACAAGATTTTCACACTGTCTTTGGCCTTCCGCAGCCGGGTCGCGTAACTACATCCGTCTCGGATCAGCGGCTTCGTACGGCGGCGATATGGTGTTGGTTCCGATGTTAAACATGAAGGGGACGGAAGCTTACTCGTATCACGTTGCTCTCTTCGGGATCAGTCTTGGCCAACAGAGGTATAAACATATCATTCGTTTGATGTTTTGATTATATTTTTAATTTACTCCATTAAACCTAGCTACGACTATCCCCTTTGCATAACCTCTCATGAGTGTCTTAAAAACTAACCATAGTTATAATTAAAGACATTTTCCTTTTTGGATGTCAAAAATATCTTCTCTAAGACATTAAGACATTTTAGACACTTAAAAAGGAAAATGTCTTTAATTTTAATCTTGATTAGTATATTTTTATCATGGTTGATCTTGGAGACATCAATAAGAGGTTATGCAATGGAGATGCTCTAACATTTTGTTGGGGTTAATTTGTTTAAACTTTAAACCCTAGCTAACATAGCTACGTAAACATTTGATACAATATACGTTTTAACAACAAATTTCTAGACTCAAACATTTGATATTTGGATTTCGATTAATAGTTTGCGTTAAAAGGTGTTTTTTTTTTCCAAATAAAACCTACATATTGAACACCATTTTATTAATTATTTGAATAATACTTTTAAACAAGAAAAATATTTTGTATTTTTAAGAAAATGGTTTTCTAACGTTTCACATAAAACCACAAACGTGCAACTTAGTATTTAAAACAATCAAGCTCTTTTTTTTTTCTCTAAATGTACATATCCATTATATTGTTTCTCATGATCTTCTTTTTTTATTAGAATGAGAAGCAATGAGAGTAGTGGAATAGCAATAGACGTTGGGACGTACTACACGAGTCTAGAACCATCACTCTACGAGGAGGTGAAGGAAGAGCTAACGGCGCAGATTGGACCAGCGGTCGCATACGAAGTGAACGAACTAATGTGTTTCACAACCGAGGTCGGGTTAGAGATAGATTCATTGCCTAAACTCACTCTTCATTTCCAAGGATTAGATTATACAATCTCAAACAAAGGACTTTATCTCCAAGACAGCCCCTCTTCTCTCTGCACGGCTTTGGTCAGATCATCGATGAAAGATGAGGAAAGGATTAATGTGCTTGGAGCATCAGCTTTTGTTGACCATGCAGTTGGGTATGACACTTCACAGAGGATGCTTGCCTTTCAACAAAGGGATTGTTTGGCCGATTTCGTAGATGGTATGTAGTACACTTTTTGAGTTTTAATTAGTCTTTTTATCATCCAAATAATTGTTATAAATATTTGTAGACATTATCATACATGACAATGTTCATGTTTATTTTGTTATTCCTACTTGCGACGTAGAGCATTGCAAATTAAAATAGCAAATTTTCAAAAATTCGAAGTGGACACTTTTCATAAATATTTACCAGACAAGTAAACAATATAACCATGGATCTCGACTTGCGTCTTACCCGAGATCAGAAGTTGTATTCTTACCATTAAAACATTCATAATGGTCAATTTGTCAATAATCACTAAGTCACTTTGTAGAATAAGTTGTGGATATGCAAGAAGTTGACAAATGTCAATAAATTTAGAAAACTAAAGCAACGAAATCACTTCCCTATCTAATGATGAAAAAGTCATTTCAAAAACATTATCTTAGCTTTCAGGTTTGGATATTTACATGTCCCGACATATATGCAATGAGATAGGGGCGGTGCATTTGTTGGCGGCGCCACACCTTTTAGGTTCCATTTTTGGTTTTCCATTTATTTCACAATTAAGATGATATCTATGTACATATGTCTATCAATAGAAGTTCTCAGGAAAAAATGTTCTAAAAGAAAAGTCCTTTAATACCTAATTAAGCCATACTAATACTGTCTAAGTATAACAACCTTGCAGGTTTATATCAGTGTTATTGTGTTACCTACTAAACATGTACATATATGTTAGGTAGTGGAATCTTCTTTTAAAAAAATTAAAACTATTTTTGAGATCTATAACTACATATCATCAAGTAATTACCCCATCGAATCCACTAATACTAAACAGCAGTTATGCTATATCCATTCTTAAATAAGGAAGGTCACTAGACCCATATATAAGCTTGAGTCAAGTCCTCCTTGTGACAGTCTTAAGCCTTATTTCAAATAAAGAAATATAACTTCGGTAATTTTTAAAGTAACCAATGTTTGGTTTGAGGTGAGGTTTGTATGAATTAAGGTGAAACCAAAGTATTGATCCAAAACCAAAAACACCAATAGTACTATTGGTTATTTTGTTATAAGATTGAAGGTACGAATAATTGACAACACATCTTATATGTATGTTGCTATGCACATTAATATGTCGAGATTTAGAAACATGAATAAATAAGCAAATCTTTTACTATTTGCGCAAATCTGTAAAATAAAGGTATACTCATATCTGTAATGTTTCTTTATATATATTCTCCTTCTCGGTTTTTCTTGATTCTAATTTAGCATGGAGGCCAATCACCACTAATGCAATAATTCTTTGACTTCAACATTTTTCTAAACAAGTAAAATGTAGTAGGACCGTTGCGCGCACCAGCTAGCTTACTTATTCCTATCCCTTTCCATGTGGTTCCTTTCGGAAAAAAACTATCATTAATTATATCGAATTGCTGTATAGGCCGGTGTTACATAAATTTGTATGCAATATAAAGTTGTTGTTTTTTTTGATAAAATATAAAAAAGTTGTTTACAAATTTTACACATGAGATATGTATAAATCAAATACCTTATCCTACGTCTTTTATCACCACGAAATTTATCCACCTATAGTTTAGTTGATATACTTCACGCGACATCAATTTCATTTTGCTACATTATCATATATTGATATTGTTAATACTTTCGGATTTTTATGGAGTTATATGAACTATTTTTAGTCCGCATATCTCTCCAGAACACCCGAACAAAGACCATGAAAGATATTGACAAATGAGTTTTCTTCTAAATATATGTAGCATTCTTAAATTTGGATACAAAAAACTTACTAAACATTTTGTATAATTGATTTTACTTAAAAACAAAATAGATACCCATAATAAGTTAGACTAAGAGAATCGATTGATGTAAAGATTTTGTGAAGTGTACAAGATTTTATGAGTGGATGGTGGAAAGGCCGGCCGTGAGAAAGGCCGAGTCTTTTGACATTATACCATAAGTGTCTTTCTGTTGAGCACTAGAGCCACTTGCTATAGGAATCTTTAGCTGATGGTCGAATAATTATATCACCAAATATGTAAATATATATAATATTGGACCGGAGAGGTTGTATAGTTTATATGTCTCTCTCTTATAAATACTTCATATCACTCCACTCCCTAAACCATCACAACTACACACACTCTCTCTCTCAGATTGATGTACATTCTTGCCCAACGGAGTAGAATTGCATGAAGTGGAGTAGAGTATAATGCAGCCAAGGATGACTTGCCGGAACGTTGTTAACCATGCATATGAATAATGTGATGATTAATAATGTGATGAACATATTTCTGGCAAGTTGTCCTTCGGCTACATTTTGCTCTCTTCTTCTCATGCAAACTTTCCTTGGGATATTCTACCTTTTCATTCATTCAAATCGACGATGTGAAACGGATTAACATCGACGGTATGAGTATTTACACATATATGTCCATATATACATTTTTATATTAAAAGTTGCATTTATTTTATTGAAGCTTAATTAACAAAACCAAAAGGGTGTTTCTCTTTCTTTTCTTTTACAAAACATCTTTGATCTTTATTTAAAAGAAGATATATTTATTATAAAAAAAACCTTTGATGAGTAAGAGATCGAAATAGAGATTTTATACGTGATTAATTATGATCTACATACTGATATTAGACCAACTAAAATCCATGGGCAAAAGGATTGGCGAATATTGTCTGCATTTTATCATTTCACATGTTTAATATTTTATTCTATATATAGTCACAATAGGAAAGTATATGATTGTCATGCAGGTTTTGGGAGCCAAAAACAAAACCCTTAGGCTTACATTAGGATGATTCTAACCTCTACAGGGAACAAGTTGGCTTGCATTAACCTTATCTGTACGGACCAAGCGGGTGGAACATACCAAAAAACAGTACCAATCAGATCTAAGAGATACAAATCAATTTTTGGCATGCTCATTGAACCACTCGTAGGTTGTTTTCTTAGTGATCAACTCATATGTAATTTTACGTAACAATCAAGGAAAAATATGTAAAAGCTATGAAGAAAAGAGAAAAGAAGCCGAAATTTCTGGAAGTATGTTGAAATGTGCGTTGTCGGTTTTGGGAATCTAAGGTACTGTGAGCCGACAAAAGTAGAGATGTAATAAAGATTTTGGTCAGGCAATCATAAATCCAAATCTTTGTGCATTTTAACAATGACACTCATCATCACTTTCCTCTTCAATATGTCTCAGCTTTTACTTACGTGCGTTATCATCATGTTCCTATAACGTATCATCTCTAACTTTTTATTTAAACAATCTGCGGAGCATATATAAAGAACCGGATAGGACAAGAACAAAACGTCACCGTTTATATGAGAAAGCAAAGCCCACTCACTCTCAGTTTTGATATGTTTTTATGAATAGTATCACCAGCCGCATCTATTCATTCACACTAATAACGATATTTATAAGCTAATTATGGATTTTAAATTTACGTACATTGTGAATTTCTATGTTAGGTAACATAAGTATAATTCATTATAAGGAACAATGCATTTTCACATACTGCAGTGCACATTATTAATAAACAATAGTGTCTAACATATTGCAATGCATGTTACTTGATCCAACTCTCTATCCTATTTTGGGTTGAGAGGAAGAACAATTTTTGAATTGGCCGTCATTTGGTACGTACAAATGGTTGAACATGATTGCGACTAATTTTATTTTTTATATATCGTTAATAATTTTTCTGAATAGAATCTTCAAGTAATTTGAGACGTCTCTAGTATAGTGCCTAATATTTCGTCTCTACTAATGTCTAATACGGGTTCAATCACAAGGACTCATCCATGTAGTGAGTAAGATACCAAAGTACTCTTCAGTAATTTTAGTCGACAATATTTTGTTTTTAGCGTGTGAATTAAGTTTCCATATATGACACGTACCCAATTTTGACCTTTGTAATACATAAAATCTTTACGCGTCGAACGTTATGTATATACGTATGATGTTATTTATTTTTATTTTGTGTGGGGGAAAATGACAGTTGAGCTTCAAGTTGATTGAGAGACCAGGCCTACTATACAAAGAGAAGCGATTAGCACCAAAAACAATAGTAGTACGGTTGTATTTGTCGGATCTATCATGGTCTCCATTAAGTAAAATATATTCATTTAATATTCATGAAGTAGTGGTCGATATAAAATCCAAAGATTCTGATTAGGAAAGTGGGAAATTGAGGAAAGATATGAGAACGTGAAGGTGGCGGTCTTACCTAAAATGGATAAGGCCATTAAAAGATTCGAGCCTACGAATACGAAGGATATATTTATAACAATTGATTTAATATATGAAAAGCTGTGATTGATTGATTTTCTTTGTTTTTTTTTGTAATATCTGGAAAAATTTAAATTTAAAATTATATATTTTTCGAAAACGGATTCCACACCAAATTAAATTTATGCTTTTTAGTGAAGAGATTCCTCCCAACATACTTCGAACCTAGCACAATTGATTGATTCTTTTCTTGCGTTATCTTTTTGTTTTGCAAGTTGACTACTTGACACACACTTATAAGACATATGTGAATATGTATTGTAATATAAGTAGGTCGGTCATACATTTGTATCAATATGAATAATTAATGCACAAATCTTTTAGCCATAGATAATACAAAGATGGCTCTTGATTTTATTTCCTGTTTTGGGGGTTACGACATGAGTTCATTTCACATGATGTCGTTATTATGAAGCAAACTATAGTTGAAACTTGAAATCGTAGTGAAAATACTCAAACTATGTATGATCTAGATCACCATAGACTACATATGAGTGAATTGTTGTAAAATTTTATAGTCTTGACCTTAAAAGATTGTTCTAGGTCATTTATTGTTTTGGATATTGTAGACTTATGTAACGAAACTTTTCCCACTACACCCAACTATCAACTATATCAAATTGATAATAAATCACCTAAACTTTTGTTTCCACTCCGAAAACACCCTTAAAAAAACCCCTAAAATTGCAGCTCAATTCAAATAATATATGAATATATATATATATATATATAATAAAGAAAAAATCTGATAAAAAATAATAATTTAGTTTGGAAATTTGCTGTTTAGATTTTTTTTTTTTCTTTTTTTTTCCCCCGATTTTCGATCTAAAAGCCTAAAAGTGATTATGAATCTAGTTCAAAAATAAAGAAAAATAATGAAACTAAGGCCCGTATTAAGCCTGTTAAGAGTATTTAATGGGCCATAGCCCATAACAAGCAAGAACCCTAATATTTCGTCATCTTCATCAAACGTGCCCAGAACCAAGAGCTTACCTCAGCATCTGATGCCATTTTGCAATCTGGATCAGGTCTGCAATTTCTGATGATTCACTCTCCATTGCTCGAGAATCTCTCATCCTCAGGGCTTATGTTACGATCAAAAACTATTTGCGTATGAATCGTCTCTGTTCACCAAATCAGTACATGTTAAGAGTATAGGCGAGTGTAAATGCTACCGGAGAGCTTATTCAAACCTGTAATTCGCTTCGTTTGCCATTTTTGCGTTTACGTCAATCTTCAAGATCATAGCTTTTTTGATTAACCCATGGCTGTAAGTTTGCAGCTTTTTTCCTTTTACACAACTCTGTTTTTTTGTTTACTTGGTTATACGAAAGTGTTGATTTTGCTACTTCAATTTTGTATGCAGCTTTTCATTTCTTGTGGGGAAGTTTCATCTTCTCAGTTCACTGTACTTCGCTTACTCAACCAAAGCCTTGATTTTGTTAGTGACAATGTCTCTAGGCTCTTAGCTCCTATTTTCACCAACCTGAGGTATATGTTTTGATTCATCCTTTTCTTGATTCAATTATTTGTTTCCATGACTATCTAATCTGTTTGCTGATGATTCTCTGCTTTATGGAAATGTAGGGACTTTGAAATGCGTCTTTCTTGTATCGAACGTCCTCCATCCATTTCTGGCAATCATTCTCATTTGCGCACTGAGAAATGGTTTGCTGATCAAAAAGATTATGATCAAAAGGGAGACCCTGAAGCTATTTTCAATGTGTTGGATTATATCTTGAAAAGCAGCTTGGATCGTTTGGCTTCGTTGAGGTTTGTGTTTTCCTCAGTAACTTCAGGCATTTATATTTGCAAACTGCTTCTGATGAAAGCCTACAACTTGTGCATCTCTTGTAGGGAGAGTGTATGTCAGACAAAGAGTTTTGATTACGATGATTCTTTATCTATTCACTCGTCTATAATGAGGGATCTTTGTTTGCAAGGGAAGTTGGACGCTGCTCTCTGGCTACGGAGAAAAATGATATATAGTGGAGTTATTCCAGGTTTGATCACGCACAATCATCTTTTAAATAGGTTGTGTAAATCAGGTTATATCGAGAAGGCGGATGGGCTTGTTAGAGAGATGAGGGAGATGGGTCCTTCGCCTAATTGTGTCTCTTATAACACCTTAATCAAGGGTCTTTGCAGTGTTAACAATGTAGATAAAGCTCTGTACCTCTTCAATACTATGAATAAATATGGTATTAGGCCAAATAGAGTGACTTGCAACATAATTGTGCATGCACTTTGCCAGAAAGATGTTATAGGAAACAACAACAAAAAGCTTCTTGAAGAGATCTTAGATAGTAGCCAGGCGAACGCACCCTTGGATATAGTCACCTGTACCATTCTGATGGATAGTTGTTTTAAGAATGGAAATGTGGTTCAAGCCCTTGAGGTTTGGAAGGAGATGTCACAGAAAAATGTCCCTGCTGATTCAGTTGTGTACAATGTCATTATTCGTGGGTTATGTTCGAGTGGAAACATGGTAGCTGCTTATGGGTTCATGTGTGACATGGTAAAGAGAGGAGTGAATCCTGATGTTTTCACTTACAACACTCTCATAAGCGCCTTGTGCAAAGAGGGAAAGTTTGATGATGCATGTGATCTCCATGATACCATGCAAAATGTTGGTGTTGCTCCTAATCAGATCTCATACAAAGTTATCATTCAAGGTTTATGTATACAGGGAGATGTGAACAGGGCGAACGAGTTCCTTCTAAGCATGCTAAAAAGTTCTCTGCTTGCAGAGGTTCTGCTATGGAATGTGGTTATTGATGGTTATGGAAGATATGGTGATACTAGCAGTGCTTTATCTGTTCTGAATCTAATGCTTTCGTACGGTGTTAAACCAAATGTTTACACAAACAATGCTTTGATTCATGGGTATGTGAAAGGGGGAAGATTAATTGATGCATGGTGGGTCAAAAATGAAATGCGATCTACCAAAATCCACCCAGATACTACCACCTATAATCTGCTACTAGGTGCTGCTTGTACATTGGGTCACTTGCGGTTGGCATTT